ATTCATTCAATAGTTATTCAGCACTTAAGCTGTGCTGCCTATACCTGGGAAACAAAGCAAGACAAAAATTAAACTACTCTTTCCTCCTACCAGGCAAGGAGAAAGGCGTATTTAGAGATTGCAAGGGGGAAATCTGGGAAGGGAGCCAGAAGCCGGTATTTCTGATCCCCACACTTGGCTAGAGTCTCCATGCTTGATTCCCTGGAACCTGGGGTTCTCATGGAAAAGTTTTTGGGGGTCAGAGTGAAGAGACAGTGTCCCTCAGATGCCACATCTGATCAAAGTCTCTGTGACTGTCACCCTTAGGACTCGGAGTTTCCATGAGGATTTGGGGGTCTCCCATCACATCCACACGGCGCCCTATTTATCTCTCCCCTCCTCTACTTCCACTCTAGCCCCACCTCATCCTTGCGCCCCTATCCCTGCCTTAGTCTCCTCCCTGGCTTCTAGACCCAGACCTTCTCTCTTATCTACTCTCCCACTGGGCAGGCAGGGGGATCTTCTTTATTATTTTTTTTTTTCAGGGGAATCGTCTTAAAGCCTAAATGTGAGTTTCTCTTCCACAGCTAGAATCTTCCATGGCTCCCTAGTGTGCCCAAGGTAAAATCAGCTCTTCATAATGAATATTTAAGGTCCCTCATAATCTAGTCCCAAAAGACAATTTTGTTTCTGGCTTCTCTCCTCTCCCTATTCTTCCCTGAACTCTAGTCCTCTTAATCTGGGACTGGACTTAATCAGGTCTGGGAAGGCTTTGAACCTAGCCCCTCAACCTGTCTCCTACCCTTCTGGTCAAGGCTGCTCTGGCAGAGTTGTTGAGGACCCTGGGAGGCCCTGATAACATGGTGGCTAAGAGACCAGGCTTGGGGACTCTGGAGTCAACCTAAAGGGTCAGCAGTAGGATGCTGGTCTACTAAATTATGGCTCTTGACCAAAACACAGGATTTACAGTAAATACATAGGATAAAGGAACACATTAGATGACATCACGTGAGTATAATCAGGCAAATACAGCATGTGGAGCATTCTACAAGACATCTGGCCTGGGCTTTTTTGGGAAGTAAATATTATTTTTTTAAAAAAAAAATCATGGGGCGCCGGCGCGGCTCAGTCAGTTGAACCTCCGACTCTTGGTTTTGGCTCAGGTCATGATCTCAGGGTCATGAAATCCAGCCCTGTGTTGGGCTCTGCGCTCAGCAGGAAGTCTGCTTGAGATTCTCTCTCTCTCCCTCTGCCCCTCCCCCCGCTCTCACTGTCTCAAATAAATAAATCTTTAAAAAATATCATGAGGACTGTACCAAAAATATACCCAAAACACTAAAGAGACATAACAACCAAATGCAAAGCATGAACATGGATTGACTTTAGTCTAAAAAATAATAATAACAGCTATAAACACATTTTGGAGACAACTGGGGAAATCTGAACATGAATGTGATAGTAGATACTAAGGAATTATTGGTATTTTCTTAGATGTGAGAACGGTGGTGTGGGTGTGTAGGAGGATGTTCTTTTTATTAAGATTTATTTTAGAGAGGGCGCCTGGGTGGCTCAGTTGGTTAAGTGACTGCCTTCAGCTCAGGTCATGATCCCAGGGTCCTGGGATCGAGTCCCGCATCAGGCTCCCTGCTCTGCGGGGAGCCTGCTTCTCCCTCTCCCACTCCCCCTGCTTGTGTTCCCTCTCTCGCTGTGTCTCTCTCTGTCAAATAAATAAATAAAATCTTTAAAAAAAAAAAGATTTATTTTAGAGAGAGAGAATGAGTAGGGGAAGGGACAGAGGGAGAGGGAGACAATCTCAAGGAGACTCCCTGCTGAGCAAGGAGCCCAACACGGGACTCACCTCAAAACCCCAAGATCATGACCTGAGCCGAAATCAAAAGCCAGATGCTCAACCGACTGAGCCACCCATGCACTCCTGTTCTTATTTTTTTAAAAAATTTATTTATTTATTTATTTATTTTTAAAAAGATTTTATTTATTTATTTGAGAGAGAGAGAATGAGAGACAGAGAGCACGAGAGGGAAGAGGGCAGAGGGAGAAGCAGACCCCCTGCTGAGCAGGGAGCCCGATGCGGGACTCGATCCCAGGACTCCAGGATCATGACCTGAGCCGAAGGCAGTCGCTTAACCAACTGAGCCACCCAGGCGCCCTCCTGTTCTTACTCTTAAAACATGCATGCTGAGATGCCAAAAGGTCTATAACTTACTTTCAAATGATATGGGACACTTGTTTATATTAAGAGATAAGGAAAGAGGAGAGAAAAAGCAAAGATAGCAAGTTGTTGGATCTAGGTGGAAAGTGTATAAGTGGTCTGTGGTCATTCTTTAAACTGTGTTTGCAAATTTTTATGCTAAGTGTCAGAGAAAATGAAATCATCAATGATGAGAGTCCATACAACAGAACAATCTGCAAACGTTAAAAATAAGACAGATCAGCGAACCATAGATAAAATTAACAAAGCCCAAATTGGCTGTTTGAAAAGATAAACGAGACTGATAAAATCCCTAGCTAGATGGATGAAGAGGAAAAAGAGAACAGAAATTACCAATATCAAGAGTGAAAAAGAGGTTATCTCTACAAATTCTGCAGTTAGATTTGACAATTTAGATGAAGTGACGATTCCTTGAATAACACAAGGAATGAAAGCTTGTGAAATAGAACACAGGAAGAGCCCTATATTTATTAAAGAAATTGAATTCATTATTTAAAAAAACTTCCCATAAGATAAATAAACAAAATCTTAAAAAAAAAAAAAAAAAAGCAAGCAAACTTCCCACAAAGACAACTGGCCCAAATGACTTTACTGGTGGATTCTATCAAAGATTAAAGAAGGGGGCACCTGGGTGGCTCAGTCATTAAGCGTCTGCCTTCGGCTTGGGTCATGATCCCAGGTTCCTGGGATCGAGCCCCGCACTGGGCTCCCTGCTCAGTGGGAAGCCTGCTCTCCCTCTCCCACTCCCCTCTGCTTGCGTTCCTGCTCTCACTCTCTCTCTCTGTCAAATAAATAAATAAAATCTTAAAAAAAAAAAAGATTAAAGGAAGAAACAACACAGAGCTTTTCAAATTTGAGACAACTATATGTGCTGAGATGGGAATGATCTTTCAAAATAGATTCAGTTAAAAAAAATCAGTGTGCAAAGGAATGAATAGTAGCCTCTCATTATGTAATAAATAGAAGAGATATATAGGTGCATTTTCTGTCTTTGCAAGGATAGCCCACTGCCTTACAGGGACCAAATTGAGGGGCTGAAATTCAGGAGTGGGAGAAAGACTGATTTTTCACTCTGCCTCCTTCTGTATTGTTTTAATTTTTAAATATGAACTGTGCATGGAATTAAAAAAAAAAAAACAGCTTAAAACTTTAGCTCAAGCTTTGCTGGATTTACAGTCTGACTCTAGTCACATGTTCTGTGAATTGGGTACTGATAAAAGACTGCAGGGGGCGCCTGGGTGGCTCAGTCATTAAGCGTCTGCCTTCGGCTCAGGTCACAATCCCAGGGTCCTGATGGAGCCCCTGCATCAGGTTCCCTGCTCAGTGGGGAGCCTGCTTCTCCCTCTGCGCCTCCCCCACTTGTGCTCTCTCTCTCTCTCAAATAAATAAATAAAATCTTTAAAAAAAATACTTAGAATGTGAACAACTGTATCATCAGGTTAAGAAATAAGGACAGGGAAGCCCCAGGAGCCCCTACCCAGCTACAGCCCCTCCCATCGCCCGAGGTAACCACCTCTGACTTTTGAGATAATCATTTCCTTTTTTGTCTTTTCTGTATGGGTCAGCCACTGTGTACATATTCCTAACACTACTGTTTCATTTCCCCTGCTTTCAAGTGTATTGAATGGAATAATGCAGCGTGTCCTGTTCAGTGTCTGCTTCTTTCACTCACTACTATGCACGTGAGATTTAACCATGGGGTTGGACACATAAGTAGTCTGTTCCGTTTTCATTGCCATATAGTATTCCATATAGTATGCCATTGTAGACCACAGTATATCTCTACCCGTTCTGCGGTTGATGGAAATTTGGGTGCTTTGTGGCCGTGACAAACAGTGCAGCTGTGAATGTTCCTCCCTCTACATGTTTCCCGACGGTCACGTCCCAGTTCTCTAAGATGTATGCTCAGCCTGGAACAGCTGGGTTACAGGTTATGTGCATTTTCAAATTGATTCAGTAACACTGCCATCTTTCCCGTTTGAAAATGTAGTAATTGCAATAAGCGAGGTTAAGTAACTTTCCCAAGATCACAAAACCGAATGGCCTTGAACCTGGAGATCCTTATTCCAGAGCCCATGCTTTCCCTTAACACAACAATTGTGAGCTCTTCTGCTGGGGGTTGTTGGGGGCTATTTTTGGGGGTTTCCATTCCTGTCCCCATTATTATGAACTCTGTCCCCATCAGTTAATAATTAACTGCCCCCCAAGGAGCCTATGATCCTAAAAGATTTGCCTTGCCCTGGCTACTGCCTGGTTAATCAGTCACTGCCCCTGGCCGGGCAAGGGGCATTTGGTAGACCTCCTGCCTCCAAAGCCCCTTTACTTGCTCTAGAAGTGGCTAGGGATTCATGATGCTGCGGACCTGTCGTGTGCTCTGTTCCCAAGCTGGACCCTCCGCTGGGGGCTGGCAGCCCTTGAGCTTTGATGGTGGGGCTTTTCACCTCAAAGGCACAGGAGAACTGACACGAGCTTTGTTGGTGCTGCGGCTGTGTGCCTGGCCCCCTCTGGTCACACATGGCCTGGCGGTGAGCAGGGACCCTGGGGACTGGCCTTGGGCATCCCCGGACTGGGCTCTGAGCCCTTGCTCTCTGTCACTCCAGCTCCAGGCCTGGTCTCAGCGACTCCTGGGCTCCCGGCTCTCAGGCGCACTTCTCCGAGCATCTATCTATGGGCAGTTTGTGGCTGGTGAGACAGCAGAGGAGGTGAAGGGCTGTGTCCAACAGCTCCAGACCCTAGGCCTTCGGCCCCTGCTGGCAGTACCCACTGAGGAGGAGCCAGACTCAGCTGTCAAGACTGGGTGAGTAGGGGCCAGGCCCAGGGAGGCTGGGAGGTTGGCAGGAAGGGGACTGGTGGGCTCCAGAAGCTAATGCCCGCTGGCTGGGCAGTGAAGCCTGGTATGAGGGGAACTTCAGTGCTATGCTTCGGTGTGTGGACCTGTCACGAGGCCTGCTGGAGACCCCTGGCCCGACTGGGAACATCCTTATGCAGCTGAAGGTGACGGCGCTGACCAGTGTTCGGCTCTGTGTAAGGGACGGGCAAGATGGGGGAGGGAGGGTATGGCTGCCTACCAGGTCCCCCTCACCACTCCACCCACCACCCCATTCCAGAAGGAGCTAACCTCATGGATCAGAAAACCAGGGGCTTCCTTGGAGCTGAGCCCCGAGAGGCTGGCTGAAGCCATGGACTCTGGGCGGGTAAGGGTCTCAGGCTGGTAGAGAATGGGTGGTCGGTGAGGAAGTGGGAGGGAGCAGAGCTCTCTATACTTGGATGTAGCAGGCACCTGCCTGTAAGCAGGATGTTCGAACTATGTAACTACTGCTACTCCCCAGGCTTGGAACAACCAGAAATAAATGTGGCTCTAGCCCTGGGGTGTGGCTGGAATGGATGGAATACATGGGTCATCTGGGGGTCCTAGGCGAGGGCCTGGGGGCTGGGAGTTCTCAGAAGACGTAGTGAGACAGTAGCTCTTTCCCAACTCAAAAAGAGTAATTAGTATTTGGTCAATCAACTCAGCTCTGTTGTGCTGACTGGAAGTTATGATTAGGCCAGTGGGGTTTTGGTTTGGTCATTCATTCATTCACTCATTCATTTCTGTTTATTTCCATAAACTATTGCTACCCGCCCTGCCGTTGGCATCCCTAATACAAACACCTGGTTTTCCTTTTCCATCTCTGCCAGCTCATTCTCAATCCTTGTTAGGTTCTTCTCTGCCTGTCTCTTCAATATGGTGCTTCCCCAAGTCTAGGTCCTGGCTCCCACCTCCTCACTCCTTACTCCCCTCGATGGGGGCTTCTTATCCACCCTGCAGCCTCAGTTTCCCCACTGGGTACTCATGGGGCCCATGTTTGTCTCCATCCCCAGCCTTTCGCCTGAGCCCCTGGACATCCTCCAGACCCCTCACACCTACCAGGCTTCAGTGTCTCCCCAAACATGCCCCCCTTCCTGTCCCCATCTCAGAGACAGCCCTCCCATCCCCTGTCTCAGTCCCTACCCCACAGGGAGGTGAAGATTGAGTGAGTTAAATATTTGGTGAGGTACCCAAAATAGCACCAGGCACCAAGTAGGCCCTCTCTGAGGGTGGCCATCATACGTAGGGAGTATCACCAGCTACTAACTCCTCAGAACTCTCCCAAGACTCTGCCCCCAGCCAGAGGGAGACAATTCTCTGACTGAGGACAAGATAACTGGGCAGGTACCCCAGCTCTTCCCTCCTGCTGGAGAGTTTTATCCACTAAGCCAAGGGGGGGTTGCCACAGCCTGATCCTGGGGCGTTCCACTAGCAGACCTAGGCCTGTGTCTCCATCTGGACTCTGTTGGATCTGGTAGAACTAAGTCCCACCTGTTCCTCCTTCTTGAACCCCCCAACTTCTTTGAACCCAGCTGGACTCCTTGAGTCGCCAGGCCCTCATATTCACCTTTGGAATGTCCATAACAAGAACATAAGTTAGGGGCAATTATTATTTCCACCGTGCTTCCCCAGGGATGTACGAAATGATGACCAAGACAAACTCCCAGTCCTTGAGGCACTCACTTGCTAGTCAGGGAGGGGCAAGAGACACTCAATGACTAAAACCAAAGCCACTAAGTAACAAGTATAAATAAGCATTGTAGAGACAAATAAGGCTGACAAAGGAGAAGGGAAAGCCCCAAAAAGTGAGTTGCAAATGTGAACCAGGGAAAACCTCACTGAGAAGGTGACATTGAGAAAAACACCTGGAGAAGAGGTAAGAGTGAAGTAAGTGGACATTGAGGGGAAGAGTGTTCCAAGCAGAAGGAACAGCCAGAGCAAAGGCCCTGAGGCACAAAGGTACCAGGCATGCTGAAAGACTAGCAGGGAGGCCAGCATGGCTGGAGGACTGCGAGCTCGAGCTCGGGAGAGCTGAGGAGATGAGAGCAGAGGGGCCAGATGGGTGGAGCCTCGTGGGTTGCAATGAGGCTCTGGCCTTACATGAGGATATGGAGGTCCTAAGAGACCTAATACCAGATGACAATTCTGGCACCTCCTATGAGCTGGCTACTCTTCTATGCACTTCCTATGTATTAATTCCTAGTCTTCTCACTCACTGAGCTTCAGTCTCCTCACTGGACAAGGAAGCTTGGAGTAACTGTCTACCGTGATCATTGTGAAGATTATATAAATAAGATAGCATATGAAGTCACTTATTATTATAACAACAACATATATCAGGGCCCTGGGTGGCTCAGTCGTTAAGCGTCTGCCTTCGGCTCAGGTCATGATCCCAGGGTCCTGGGATCAAGCCCCGCATTGGGCTCCCTGCTCTGCAGAAGGCCTGCCTCTCCCTCTCCCACTCCCCCTGCTTGTGTTCCCTCTCTCGCCGCGTCTCTCTCTGTCAAATAAATAAATAAAACCTTTTAAAAAATTAAAAAAAAAATAACAACATATATCGAGTGCTTATCATGTGCTGGCTCCATCCCATTCTTATGTCCAGGCACGTCTTACAGGTCCACACAGCAACTCCATGAAGGAGATGCCATTATCCTCTAATTGTTGAAAAAACAGACAAAAATTGAGGCCCAGAGAGGTTATATGACTTGTCCAAGGCCACACAGTAAGTGGTGGAGTCTGGATTCAAACCCAAATCCTGGGCTCTTAACCATTTTATTCACCTCAATAAATAGTATCTATGTGATACAGCTACGTTTCCTATTTCTAAAAATTTCTAAACTTTTCGCCCTTCTGGGTGGTGGGGGAGAGGAGACACAGGCCCTGGAAGGATCCGGTCACCTGAGCCATTCTTGCCTCCCCTGCTGCTCCTCCAGGATCTCCAGGTCTCCCACCTCAATGCCGAGCAAAACCAGCATCTCCGGGCCTCTCTGAGCCGCTTGCACCGGGTAGTCAAGGTAACACCTGCCGTGGCCTGGCTCCACCACGCGTGCTGGGAGCCCTGAGGCCTGACCGCGGCCCCTCTCACCCTCAGCATGCCCGAGCCCAGCATGTGAGGCTCCTGGTGGACGCTGAGTACACCTTCCTGAACCCGGCTCTCTCTCTGCTGGTGGATGCCCTGGCCATGCGCTGGAACGGCCCCGGGGAAGGCGGGCCCTGGGTGTGGAACACTTACCAGGCCTATCTGAAGGTGTGTGGTGAACTGTGGGGGACCGCGGGCTGGGGTCCTGGAGGCCCTGACCCGAAGCTGCCGGGGTGCCCCGCCAGGACACACACGAGCGGCTGAGGCGGGCCGCGGAGGCCGCTGACAGGGCTGGCCTGGCCTTCGGAGTCAAGTTGGTACGAGGGGCATATCTAGACAAGGAGAGAGAGGTGGCTCGGCACCATGGGACAGAAGACCCCACTCAGCCGGACTATGAGGCTACCAGTCAGAGGTAGGACTGGGCCAGACAGGCCTCGGAGATAAATAACATCTAACCTTTCATCCCGGCACACTGCCCATGATGCTAAGCATCCTGTGTATGTCCACATATCATTTCCTCTCCCTGGTCCAGGACATCGTCACTTCCTGCCTCCTCTTTGGGCTCCCTGCTCCCTCCTTTGTCCACCACCCCAATTTGTACCCCACAGGCAGCCAGAGGGAGCCTGTTAATATCTAAGTCAAATCCTGTCCCTCTTCAAAACCCTTCCTTCGCTCCCACTGCCCCTTAATAAGCCCAAAATCCTTACAGCAGCCCCCCATCTCCACATAATCTGGTCTTCCGTCCACTCTGTTCCTCCACACAGTCCTCCTTGATGATCCCCAGGGCCTTTGCACTTCCTGTTCCCACTGCTTAGAACGTTCTCCCTCCAGACAGCTGCTTGGCTCAATCCCTCACCTCCTTGTTGGTACCTCCTCAGGGGACCTTCCTTGCCCTTCCTATCAAAAACTAGAACACTCACACTACTCTTTTCCTAAATTTACTTTTCCTCTTTAGCACTTACACAGCATCTGAGGTTCTATACACTTTCGTATTCAATTGCACACTGTCTGTCTCCTGCTCTAGAGCGTGGGCCCAGGAGGGCAGGGGTTTCTGATTTGTTCATTGTTGAGCATCCAGTGCTTAGAATTGTGCCTGCTATGAGGTAGGTGCTCAGTACAGATCTGCTGAACACATAAACAACCCCCAAGCAGTAGGTACTATCATCATCACCCCCTGCCCAATTTCACAGAGGAAGGAACCCAGGCACAGAGAGGTAGAACCACTTACCCAAGGTCACATAGTTAGTAAGTGGCACGGCCAAGTTCTGAACCCAGCAGACTGACTCTAGAACCTGCATTCTTACCCACCTCAAATCACCCTGTGCTGGGAGCAAAATATGGGTGAGCTGCTTGGGCCCCCATCCCATGACCCTGGGAAGAAGGAAACTGTTCCTTTACCACATATTTTCTGATCACCTGATTTAGATCAGGACCTCGGCTGGACCCTGGTCCCACTCCCAACAGAAGGTGGTAACCAGGCCCTGTCCCCATAGAGCTTAAAAATCTACCTCCAGGGGCACCTGGGTGGCTCAGTCATTAAACATCTGCCTTCAGCTCAGGTCATGATCCCAGGCTCCTGGGATTGAGCCCCGCATCCGGCTCCCTACTCAGCGGGAAGCCTGCTTCTCCCTCTCCCACTCCCCCTGCTTGTGTTCCTGCTCTCGCTCTCTGTCAAATAAATAAATAAAATCTTAAAAAAAAAAATCTACCTCCATTTCACACTGGATCCAGGAGAGGTTTGTAGAGCCACAGGGACTGACCCAAGCTCACAGGGCAATGGGCCACACCATAGCCAGAAGCTAGGCTTGCATCCAAGGCCCATGAGGGCTCCTACATATGTTTGTGCCCCACAGGCTTAATCACTGGCACCGTTATTATTATTTTTTATTACGATATAATTCACATACCATAAAATTCACCATTTCAAAGGGTACAATTCAGTGGATTTTAGTATATTCACAAGGCTGTGCAACCATCACCACTAATTCCAGAACATTCCATCACCCCCCAAAAGAAACCATGTCCATTAGCAGTCATTCCCCATTTGCCTCCCCTCAGGCCCTATAGCAGGCTCTAATCTATTTTCTGTCCTATGGATTTGTCTCTTCTGGACATTTCATATCAACGGAGTCATATAATGTATGGCCTTTTGTGTCTGGCCTGTTTCACTTAGCATAATGTTCTCAGGGTTCAACCACGTTGTCAGATGAATCAGTACTTCAGTCCCTTACGTCTAAATAATATTCCACTGTATGGATGTACCACTCATCAGCTGATGGATATTTGGATCACTTCCACTTTTGGCTATTATGACTAGGGCTGCTATGAACATTCGTGTGCATATTCTTCTGTAAATATGCATTTTCAATTCTCTTGAAAGCTCAACTCTCTACGAGTGGAAATGCTGGGTTATACAGTAACTCCGTTTAACGTTTTGAGGAATTGTCAGATGATTTTCCAAAGCTGCTACACCATTTTGCATTCATACATTACACATTCTGAATAAATACTAAGTTTATGTGATTAAAAATCAAAATGAGGGGCATGTGGGTGGCTCAGTCAGTTGAGCATCTGACTCTTGGTTTCAGCTCAGGTCCTGACCTCAGGGTCATGGGATCGATCCCTGAGTTGGGCTCTGTGCTCAGAGCAGAGTCTGCTTGGGAGTCTCTCTCTCCCTCTGCCCCTCCCCCTGCTTGTGGGCATGCTCTCTCTCTCTTTCTAAAAATGAATAAATAAATCTTTAAAAGAAAATCAAAATGATATGCAGTACCTGGATGGCTGTTGGTTAAGTGTCCAACTCTTACTTTCAGCTCAGGTCATGAACTCAGGGTCATGAGATCGAGCTGAGTAGAGCTCTGTGCTGGGTGTAGAGCCTGCTTGGGATTCTCTCTCTCCCTCTGCCTCTCTCCCCCACTCGCTTGCTCTCTCTAAAAACATAAAAAATAAAAATGATATGAAATGAATACACTGACATATCTCACTTCCACCCAAATCCCCCTCTCATTTTGGAGTCTCCTTGCTCTCCACAGGTGACTACTTTTGTTAGTTTCTTACACATCTCCTAAGCTCCTTTATCCAAAAACAGGCGAACACAGAGATTTGTGTGTGTATATGTGCAAAAGGCATCATGCCTACACACTGCTCCTTGCTTTTCCACTCAGTTGCATATTTTAAAGGCAGAATAGTCTAATGATAATAAACCCAGGCTCTGGAGCATCAGACAGCCTAGGTTCATATCCCAGCCCAGCCACTTTTAGCTGTGTGACCTGGGGACAAGCTTCAGTCTTCCCCTCTGTAAAATGGGGATAACCAGGACATCTACCTCATGGAGCTGACTTGAGTGAATGTATGTGGGTCAGGCAGAACCCTGGAAGAAAGAGAATTCCAAGCAAAGGGGTTTAACTAAAGGAAATGCAGTAAAATGCTCTCTCTATAGAGTGTGGGCAAGGTTAGGGGAACCCCTGAGAGCATGAAGCTCTTACGACCACTGTTCCAGAGCTGAGGAAGGGGGGCCACCCTAAAGAAGGTGTCACCATGCACAAGACAGTCAGCATGGGCCAGAGAGAGGGCTGGGGGCGAAATACCCCAAGCTCCCTCTCCTCCCCTCTTCTGATCTCCTGCTCATTCCTCCATGGGTGATATAGGACATAAAAGTCAGCTTCCTGAGGGGCAGAGAAGGTCAGAGAACAGATCTGGGGGGCAATGGAGAATAACCAGTGACGTCCTTAGGATGGCACTTGGCCGGCAGCAAGCTGGGAAAGCATTTGCCAGTCAGTTTACCTTTCCATATCAGTGCCCCAGAGTGTCCTCACCCTTCTTTAGTGCCTGGCACTCCACTATCCTTTGTGTGCCGTCATTCATTTGAGCCAGGCCCCACCGACAGACAACTGCATTACTGCTCCTCATGTTCCGTGGCCAATGCTGCAGTGAATGACCTTGGTAAATGTCATCTCATGCACGGAATGTGGCCCTTTGCTGTGAGACGGCCATTGAGCCAGGGGCTTTATGACACCCTCATCTCACTCCATCCTCAACAGTGCTGTTAGCTGAACTTGCATCGTTAAAAGAGAGGAAACAGGCTCAGAGAAGGGCTATCCCTTGCGCCTGGTGCAGGTGAAATGGGGGTACTGTCTGACTCCAGAGTACTCGCCCTTAAGCACCCCACCTCCCAAGGACAGGAATCCCGAGTCCCTGGGGCCTGACCTTAATCACCAGGTGCCATAAGCTGAACAGAACATCTCCGTTAAGTTACAGCCGCTGTCTGGAGCTGATGTTGACCCAGGTGTCCCACCGTGGCCCCATGTGCCATCTCATGGTGGCTTCCCACAATGAGGAATCTGTTCACCAGGCAACCAAGCGGTACGTAGAGGGATGAGAAATGGGTACCCACAAGAAGGCCCCCTCCCTTCCTCTCCCTTGCTCACATGCCAGGGATAGGCAGAGGGTGGTGGATATGGAACAGGGGGAGAGATGGTGAGGGGCCAGTAGGTTCACAGGGATTCAGGGGGGCCTATCCAAAATATTTAACCCCCGCTAAACCTGTAGGTCCTGTAGGTCCCAGCTAAACAAGACATTGCTCCCTACTTGCTGGGGCACAAGGAGGTCTGAGGGTTCCAGGGAAGGAGCTGGGACTCACTGGGGAGTTTTCAGGGACCTGAGGGCAGTGTTTATTTATTGCTGAGTTTGGAAGTACTTCAAAATTTTAAATAACTGGAACAGCCATATGAGTGCATAATGGCTGACAGTCAGCTCTGGGTCCAGCCACTGTCTGGACTGATGATGTGGCCTTTTCTATAGCATGTGGGAGCTGGGCATTCCTCTGGACGGACCTGTCTGTTTTGGACAACTTCTAGGGATGTGCGACCACGTCTCCTTGGCACTGGGTATGTGAATGGCTCATTCTCCCCATACTCCACCACCATGACCCACCCAGCCCTTGGCCTCATCCCCTCCCAGCCAAATCCCTCCTTCCACTCCCAACCAGTTCCTGCCCAGGCTCCCCTCCAGAGGGGAGCAGCTGGCCCAGCCACCAGACTCTTCCAGATAGATCTGTTGCTCCCGTATCTGAAGGCCTTGCACACCTGTCTTTGAGCCTGCTGTCTGTTGCTTTTGCTGGTTCTTGATCATGGGGTCTTGTTTCATGCTTTGTTATCTTGACCGTGTTGCTTCCCGGGGTCCGAGACCAGAAGATTTATGTTTTCTTCTTCCAGGTACTAAGGGGTACAGAATTACTTTACCCTAAATTCAGAGCCTGAGGTTTCCTGAGGCATCTCCATGATGCAAATCTGAGCTACAAATATATGAGGCTAATCCATGGCCTCGATCTCTCAGAGATGGGTTTCTGTTTTCTTCTCTGCTCCACTTATGGTCAAGGCCACTATTCCCTGTGAGTTGGGGAAGGTGGGTGGGTGGACTTCTGGTTAACTCTGACACTGAGGGTGCAGCTTAATTTGAGGAAGTGCTCCATTACAACTAACCCTGGTCAGGCTCTGGGCCTCGATTCTGCACCCCCTCAACTCTGTGAGGTCATCAAATTTTGCCTTCAGGGTGGAAGTGCTTCCTTGCATCCTTCCCTCTTTGGGTTCTCACTTTCTCTTAATGCTTGGATTACTAAATTCCTTACTCTTTTGGCCGTATTTTAATAACTTTAGGAAGATTTTTCTAAATGTTTACTGCAGGATTTTATGTTTTTTCAGTGGGAAATTTTGTCCAACTCACCTAGTCTGTCATGTCCTCAGACATGAAAGTCTCTGTTCCAGATGGGGCCTCTCCCCAAACATGAGTTCACACCATGCCAACACTCTCCCCACAGGGCAGGCTGGCTATGCTGTGTATAAGTCCATCCCTTATGGTTCCCTGGAGGAGGTGATCCCCTACCTGATCCGGAGGGCCCAGGAGAACCGGAGCGTGCTGCAGGGTGCCCGCAGGGAACAGAAGCTGCTCAGCCAAGAACTTCGACGGAGAGTGCTGGGCGGGGCCTGAGGGTACCCCATTAGCATCCCCAGGGGTCATGTGGTTAATAAAGATCCTGAGCTATGGCCCAGGCTGCTGTCCTGCACTGAAGCTCCTCCTTGGGGAAGGGCTAGTCTCCACCTCAGCGAGCCCAAGCTAGAGGCTCTGCAGCTCAAGAGAGACCACTAGCTGATCCTAGAGCATGGCAAGGGCATTGATCAAAGACTAATGATGCCTCCCCTTAACCCTGAGGCAGACTGTCCTGCAATGGGCCTGGGATCAGCTCTACTCAGCCAGTCAATGACTCATGTGGGAGCTTTCTTCACTCCAGGGGATGCCCAGATGAACAGCAGACACTGAGGCACTGAAACCAAGAGGCTGGGAGGGACAGAGGGAAGAGGCAAATCACTTTTTCATTTAATAAGCATTTACTGAGGCTCCTTCTGGGCTCCTCTGAGATGAACAATGCTGGGGACTCAACAGTGACAAAGACAACTGCAGGCCCTGCCTCACAGGGCTTAGTCCAGTAGGGGTAGACAGACCTATCTTCAGACAGTGACAGCCTGGTGGATCAAGGCAAGACACCTGGTGATCAAGAGGGCTTTCCAGGGAATTCATAAGGATAACCAAAGGAATACTGAGAAGAGCATTCAAAGGCAAGGGCGTGCGCATAGACAGAAAAGTTTGCAACAGACTAGGGAGTGGGAAGACAGGGATGAAGGGTAGGCAGGCCAGACAATGCCATCTTTGATGCCAGATTTAAGGGCCTGGACTCTGTCCCAAGGGCCCTGGGGAGCCAGGAGAGTTTCAAGCAAGGGAGGAACAGAGTCAGGTTTGGCTTTAGTAAAGACTCCCCTGGCTACCATGCAGTGAGTGTACCAGAGTGGGGAGACAGGCTGGGAGCCCAAGGGAAGATGAAGTAAGAAATCCCTGCAGGTAGCTGGAGCATGGCAGGGCTATAACAAACGGAGGAGGAGGCTGGTGGGAAGGACAATCTAGAGGCTGAGTGGATGGGCCCTCGGGCTGAGAGGTTGGATGGGAGGGAGACACTGAAGGGCGAGGCCCAGGGCTCTGGCTTGAAGAGGGGGTACCCTGAGATGGTGATTGGGAGGAAATGCAGTTTTGGGGAGATACTACAAGTGTGGGACCCAGTGGCTGGGAGGGTCTCAGAGGATTTCCAGGGCGAGGTGTCCAGGACACTGTGGGGCCCCAGGTTTGGGGCAAAGAGATGAGGTTGGGGTTAGGGAAAAGAGACAGCCCGTGGTGGTGGTAAGAAGCGTGGGAAGAAGACAGCCAAGGACAGGGATCAGGAAGGGCCCACCACCTCAAACAAGTCCTGGGGCAGGCGTAACAGGGGGATAACACGTACCTCTAGGGTGGATATGGCTTGCTCTTCTTTTGCATCACCTCAGGGCTGTAAGAGCGCCTCTCAGAGGAGGGAAGCTACTGCGCAAGCGCAAGCCACTGATGCGCATGCGCCCCTGATTCCCGCTCAGACGCCGGCGTGCGTGCCTGGGTCACGTGGCAGTCACGTGGTGATCACTGTGGGAGCGCAACGGTAGGTGCAAGGACCCCCTGGGCTGGGGCCTAGGCCCCAGAATCTTCCTAGAGCTTACTGGACCCTCAGGCTAGACCCCGCCCCCAGACCGCCCCCTTCCCTCATACTCCTCCCTCCTTCCCACCCCTGGTGGCCCGCAGACCCTACCCCTTATCAGACTCCGGTTCCCAGCCCACAGACACTGCCCTCCGACCCCCTCCTTCCTCAGTCTCTTCCAGTAGCCCACAGACCCCACCCCAGCACCCAGAGGCTTCCCTCAACCTCAGTCCGTGTCCCCAACCCTCACACCCTGTCTCAGCCCCTGCCCTGACTGTCCTCCTCCCTTCCACCCCGTCGCCCAACCTGGAGACTCTACCCCTTCTCAGGCCAACCCTCAGGCCCCTCTTCCACCAGACCCTTTTCCTAAACCACTAGCCTCCTTTCCTCAGCTCAGATCCTATCCCTGGAGCCCTTACACCCCCTCCCCCAGAGAGAATGCCCTGCCCTCAGACTCCCGTAGACCCCAGACCTGCCGGGCTGTAGCTCTCCCAGATCCCACCCTTTTTCTCATTCAAACACCTAACACCGGAGAGGATTCCTCCTGAGTCCCCTCCCTTTCTCACTCGGCTCTCCAGGACTCCCAGCCAGCTGTTTTTATTACCCCCAGAGGTCCTCTGTTTACTTCTTCCTCCCTCATGAGACACCCCTAGGTGATCCCTGCGCAGGATCTGAGCGAGGCCGGAGCTCACAGATGCCCTCCCTGCGCTCTCGCTTCCCCGTGGAGCTGGGCTCTGTTAGGGATCCAGAAGCCCAGGTGGGACGACTGCATCGCCTGGCTGTGGCCGGGGGCCCAGGCTGGGGCCTCACCCGGCTCCTGCGGAGAGGTGAGGGTTCAGCTCCTGCAGCTTCCTGTGGGGACCAGCTCAAGAGGCCGTGTAGAAGGTGGGACTTCTACACGCTCAACAGTTGTGTACCAGGCACCTATGGTGTGCCAGCCTCTGTCGTCTATGATGGGGATTTAGGGACGACCTTCTGGGTCATTGTGAATGAAATCTATCGTGAGAATTTAAGAGAGTGGTGAAGATGAAGTAGCTACACCAAGAAGCGTGGCTTTATAAGAGCCGGTCATGCAAACCACACCCCCACCCCAGGGTGACAGAGCCACTGCAAAGGCCTTGAAGTCAAACTGTTAAGTAGCAGCAGTGGGGGAGGGGGACTCAGGGAGAGGGCTGAAGCTTAAGAGGCACCAGCTCCGTCCAGACAGGAAAGGGCCTCTGAAGTAGTGGGTGAATTCTGTTATATTTTGTTCTGTGTGGGATGGGAAGCCATTGGAGTTGTAGGCAGGAAATTAACATCTAATTTACAATTTCCATTTTTCATCGATTTTTCTAAGTCGATTGTGTTTCTGGTCACTTTCTGAATTTAATAGTTGTAGTTTTTGATTCTTTTACAGTTTTTGTTACCCACAGATGGTGACAGTTTGGTCTCAGCCCTTTCAACTCTTAATTCTTTTTTTTCTCGTGTATGGTGTTGGCCAGAACCCCCAAACCCCCAAACCTTGTTGTCGATGGACATCTCTTAACTTGTTCTTGATATTAAAGGGAATTAATCTGTATTTTTGCATTAAGTATTGTGGGTGCTCTTGGGTTTTGGTATATAATTTTTATAAAGTGAGGAAGTTCCTGTTTATTCTTAGTTTTTTGAGGTATTTGCCTCCCTCAGTCATAAGTAAGTATTGAATTTTATTTTTATTTATTTAATTTAGTCTTTCATCACTTACATATACCACCCAGTGCTCATCATAACAAGTGCCCTCCTTAATACCCATCTCCCATTTAGCCCATCCCCCACCCACCTCCCTCCATCAACCCTCTGTTCTCTGTTGTTAAGAGTCTCTTATGGAAGTTTTGAATTTTATCAAGTTCTTTTTCTGTATCTACTGAGCCAAATGTGATTTTTGTTCTTTAATCCATGAATGTGTTTTCCTACATTGATTGATTTTCTTATGTTGAATCGTCCTTGATTTCTGGGAATAAATCAATTGGATAATCCCTTTTAGTCTATTTAGGAGGTTAGCATATATGATCATTAATGGAATTGAAATATTTCATTTTTGGTTCTGGAAACTTACCAGGCTTTGGAATTAAGGTCATACTAGCCTCATAAAAGGAGCCTTGCCCTCTCTCTCTCTCTCTCTCTCTTTTTTTTTTTTTTTTTTGCTTTTGGAACAACTTGTATAAGATTATTTATACATGAAATGAAGTGACCACCATTGTAATGATTATCTATATCATGCAGTGATTTGTGTTTTAAGAAGATCCTTTTGCAGGGCAAAACAAATGCAGAAAATCATTTAGGATGCCATTGCAAAAGACAGTGGGCTACTGGATAAAATAGGATGCAGTAATTGTGATATTCAGATGTTCCTAAAGGACCACATTTGGAGAGATTTTGTGACAGAGACCAAGCTGGGTTGGGCCAAGCACATGATTGATTTTAGCCATGTCTGCCTAAGACATAGGAGTGCAAGGACAAAGACACCATGCATTTGCCCTCAGTAGGGAGATAGGCCAGGGCCTAGAGGAAGAAGAATTCAGGATAATGGGTATGGAGAGGAGGGGATAGGAAGGGGATCTGAGCAGAATGAGGAGGGGGGAAGAGATTGGCGTAAGTGGAGGTGCAGAGGAGATTGCTACTTGGATTCGGCTCTTAGAAGCAGTATGCAAAAATAAACCTGAGAGATTTCCTGATAAAATCCAAAGAGTTTGCTTTTCTTGAAGAATTGGATGCTGGCCACATGGGATCTGTATAGACACACTGAAGGAGAGCTGGGTGGAGGCTGCCTGCCTTGGACAGTGCACAAGGCTCCTGTCAGCTGAGGTCCCTGAGAAGGCCACTTCCCCCCGGCCCCTGGGTACCTTTGTGTGATTTTGACACTTCTGGGGTGGCAGATGGGTGGCAGCATAGCAGGTGGACGTCACCCCTTGTTGCAACTCTGTAGACTTATTAATGGTGAGCACTGTGTTGAGACAGATTCTGAGCAGAGTCCCCAGTGGTTGGAGGGTGGGGGTTCCAGGACATACAGATAGAATCTGGAGTTGAGGGTCACCCAGGCAAGGAGGGACTGCGGGGACTGGGAATTGGCTGAGGCGTTGCATAGCAGCCCCCAGGACTGCTGCCTCTGGAGTAAAGGGCAGGGATAGTCCTAAGCCTTGCTGCCCCTCAGTTGTCCAGGTGGATGGTGAGAACTCTGCTGGGCAGACGGGGCTCTTCCTCTCGGCGCTGCTGGGCCACAGCTCTGCCGTGCAGCTCTTGCTGACCTTTGGCGCCAACCCCAACCAGTGAGTGGACCGATGGCGGTGCCCCCACGTTCCCAGGGGTATGGGTCAGAACCCCAGAGAGCCTGAGAGCCAGGGCTTTCCTCCCCAGAGACCACTCCCTCATGACACCTTTCCATCCTGATGACCCTTCCGTGCCCAGTGAGCTTCCGCCTTGTTCTCTGCATTAACCCCTCCTTGTCCTCCAGGAACTATTCCCATTCTCCTGGTTACTCTCATGCTCACAATGAGACTCTCACCTCTCAAAGACCCCACTGTGTCCCCAAGTGACCCCTCCTGTCCCGATGTCCACCTCCCATGTTCACCGTGACTCTCATCCCTCAGTGCTCCCATCCTGCTACCCCTTGTCCCTGTTCCGCCCCTTTCCTAATACCTTTCTGTCCTCATTGTTCCGATGCAGCCGCTGCCTCGATGGCAGCACACCTGTGCACGCAGGCGCCTTCTCGGGCCGCAGCCTGGTGATGCTGCACCTGCTACAGGCGGGGGGTGACCTGCGTTTGCATGACCAGCAGGGTCGCACGCCTCGGGACTGGGCAGAGCAGGGTGGTGCCAAGCAGAGCTGGGAGGTGAGCGGTGGCCCAGGTGGGGTGGGGGCATATAGAGCCGGCACCCCCACCTGCCTCACTGCACACGTCCCCCGTCCAGGTGCTGGAGCTGTTAGAGCTATGCCGAGCCCACATATCAGTACTAGTGCATGGCGGTGAGTTGGCAGCCAATGCATCCCTGGGCCAGTTGCAGGCCAGCTCTAGACACAGCCCGTGTGGCTCTCTGTCCTTGCCGCGGCTGGTGCATGCGGACAGGTAACTACCCACATCCCGAAGCCCAGTCACCCACCACCCCCAGCTGCCCTAGACTTACCCCTGGCCTTCCCTTTGATCCAGGGCGCCGAGGCCGGAGCACATCAGAAGACCCTCCCAAATCCCAGCCTTGGGGTTTGGCCAGGTAAGCGGGAGAGGTTGGGGGAGCAGGGAACACCCCTGTCCGCTTTGTGCCTCATAGTCCCACTCCCCATCCCCAGCTGAGCAGCCTGTGGCCACTGGGGCTGGTAACAGGCATACCCCTCGCGGACCCCAAGGAGCTGC